CTATATACCACCTGTGCATTGGACTATTACGTGTTATGAATACCGATACGAATATGGTTAAATGTACAATGTCCTCTGTATACCTGTTGTTTGATGTAAGATTGTAAGAAGTCAATTAATTTACTTCACTCAGGATCACAGTTCATATAGCCCATGTTGCGTAACACGTGATAACCACGTCATTTACATGTACATTTAATTATTCTTAAGGTGTGCGAACCTTTCGAAGGCGTCTTCCTTTGGTCCAGAGATTTTCAAGTACGCCCACGTGTTACCTTCTAACATCTGTGGGGTCTAACCAACCAGAAAGGGCACACACAGTAAGCAAACGTGTTGTCCATGACGTATCAATTCTACCATCTTGAAAACAAAACATGCCAGGGTATCTTGTTTATCAGTTATTCTTAAATTAACGGGCACACCGTCATTAAAATTGGCAGTAACAACACTCGCGTACCAGAAATTAAATTTTGATAACAAAAGTTTCTCGCAATAGAAATTAAAGAGCATCGAACCGGAAAACGATCTCACTCACAACAAAAAATGCCCGTGTGTGGCGCAATGTTACTCACAGTTCGGCTGTATCGAAATTAACTCGCTGGACCCATTCATTTCACGCTGTGCAAGCAAAGTAGTTTCTTTTTAACACCCAATAAACCAAATTCTTACATTGCTCTGGCATAATAGAATATCTTTACGATCAAACAATTAAACTGTGGATAACAATAAAACTTTGTTACGACACAGAATAGAGACGTTGCTAAATGTTAATGAACTATTGTTATGGAGTAAGAGGAAGACAACTGTGTTTAACTATCAAGTACTTATGTTATCATATAAGATATCTAAATCAATTTTATACATAATCCTACCCATTTTCTATTCGTTGATACTATTTGATTTGTAGATACGGGATTTATTGCGTTCAAACAGAAGATTACATTTAGGATATTTATGAGTAAGGCTAATTGATTTCGGTTTCTATTATCACATTATTACTTCGTTCCAACACTTCAAAGGATTTTTCTCATTTTTTAAAAGTATGAACATTATTATAACACCGTATGTAGAATTCTCATCGACATCTTTTCAAATATGTCATAAAATTCATAATAGTTCTAATTTTGATACATAAAAAGTAAATTGGATGAAATGAGTAAATCAACTCTAAATAGGTCTTTCAAAAAGGCGACACAGTTCGAATATAAATTAAATAAGTATAATGGTATACCCTTTAAATCTATCATCACACCGATGAAAACATCTTGAACATGAAATGAATATCTACTTTTATAACGTGTATCCAATTGAAGCATCTCACGCTTTCAAAAGTGCGCTTGTGATTAAATATATTCTTTTGCCACTGTAGAAGCCGCCGTTCAAGATGATCCTTGAGATCAAAGTTGTTTTGTACTGACCACTTTCTCATTAAGGCCAAAATGATTTCGATTTGCAGAGGTTAAACATTCGGTATCCAACATCAAACATTGAATTAACAAATTGAATACTTCGCCCATCTTTTATAATTAGTAATGGTGGATACCTATTCCAGGTGCATCCCTTAAAACATGCCTGTTCTTGATATAGGAAGCCATTCGTTTGCTTTTGCCCTCCATCCAAGAACGATGGCGCTATAGGTAAACAACTAACGTTATATAAACATTGTTGTTTGGTCATGCATAAATTGGATACTCGAACAAAACGAGGGTTTCATGAGCTTTTTGCTCGAATGTCCCCCTGTCAGTTTATCAAAACACACTTGGAGGGAAGAGAACAAATTTGAACGAATGACAAGATAGAAGTTGGTATATTTCTCACGTTATTGCCGATTGTGATGTTTGTCATTGTCCAGCCGACACCAAAACAGTTAAGTCATTCTGACATCTTCGGTGGAACCAATGTATGCCCACAATTGCGGCTTATTTCGGAAACTGTCTAATGTACACTTACATGAAATGTATGTGTGACCTTTAAAACAGCTTTATGATGTCAAAACCAATATTGATATTTAAACAGTTACAGCATCAAAGAAATGCTAGAAACACAGATGCCCCACTTCCTTGGTGCCACAGCACATTCTATTTGTCAATGTTTTAGTTTTATGCATGGTTCTCGCGCCCGCATTTCCGACATCACAAACGTAACATGTGAGTATAGGCAGGCCTGAGTTCTCTAGGGACCACAAACACAAACAGAAGAAATAAAACGTACCCTAAAATTTATATTTAGTTTCAAGATGAATGTATGGATGTTCGCTGAAGTGAATTTATGGTATATCTACACGAGGCAGCAGAAACGGAAAACGGTACATAATATGTCTAGGCCTGCTTTCTCTAGGGATCCCAAACACCTTTTAGGACAAAAGCACAACACCCTGAAAGTTGTTTTTCAAGAGGAGGTGGATATAGGGAGTGTCGTCTGATATATGTGTGGAACAGCATGAGAGAGAGAGAGGGGGGGGGGGTTAACGTCCACTCGACACAAACTAGGTCATTTCGGGACTAACATATGGTTTAATTTTATTTCAACAATTCACTTGCGCGTAGGGGTCTTTAGCAGTGGGAGGAAACCGGAGGACCCGGAGAAAACCCACGAGGTTGGACAGGCGACCCTACTCCTTGTCACGTACAATGACAGGCTCTATGATACAGCACGCACGTGCTAACCATTCGACCATCCAACCCCCCTGAACAGCATTAGAAAAATAAGACAATTTTAACATAATATAGCATCTTACCCAGAACCCAAATTGTCATCAATGTTCATTTTAATGCTGAGGATATATTTTATCAGGTCGTGTGTAGCTTTGAATTCTATTTAAAAACATATATCGAGCCGTCGGGATATCATTTCTAAAACATTCCAGGGTCATCTTACCATGTAAATATTATTCAAGCACGCGAGCTGTACCGATTATATTTCTTATTCTGACTTTAAGTTGGCCTATTATCTAACCTGAACACCTTTTTCAAATTAAGTCACATATTTTCATATTATTCTCACTTGGTTGTTGTGCTGAAAGTGGACTACCGTAAATCTGTGTCCATATTGTCTATTGAGTAATCAGCCCTATAAGGAGGTAATTTGGCGGGTTTAGTGTAAATTGCCTATTGAAATGCCTGGTCAAATGGTATTTCGCTAAAGGATCAAGAGAGAGATTCAAGCTTGATTAAGACACGACTGTCTACAGTCTACTGGCTATATTGTTCAGTTGTAGGCTATGGTGGTCCGATCAAGAAGAAATTACTTTAACTAATATAAAACCTTTCGTAACCTTCCTCACAGCTTAACGGCTCTGTTACGTAAATCATCGCCCTTGTCGACAGATAATTGGTAATCGTGACAAACAGTCATACATGTTTGTCCCCTGGCTATCAACTTGTACATACTTGAAAATCTAATCATATACTTGTTCAATCAGAATATGATGATTTTAATAAGTTTGAAAGTGTGTGTAAAACGTCATTGATTTTGCACTAATTAGAATTACGGAAGATGAAGATCCTTTAATCTCGACATCTCTTTCAGTTCCTTTCTTAGTATGATTAGATTTTTTTTTACAGAAATATAACTGATTAAATTTCAATGTTAAAGCAAAATAAGGAGAAGTTATCGTTTATCTTGAAACAAAAAATTTCTTTGTATGTGGTTGAAATAGTTTCGCGTCCATTACAAATATTTGGGAATTGAATTTTACAGAAATATGACGGAATAAATTTTAGTTTTATGGGGGTCCCTATCGTGTTTTAAAGCAAACAAAGTTTTGGGTGGTTAAAATATGATGATATCTTTATCCAGCTGATTTTAATTTTACGAAAAAAGAAATACCACAAAAGAGTAATCCAAAGCAAAGAGTTTTCTCTTGTTCGCCATACTTATCCCCCTTCATCAAATACCACATTGTCCAAAATAAATATCATTACCCTTAATACAAAGGCTAGACATAATCGTAATATTATCAGATATTTTATATGCAGAGACGTGGGTCGTGTGGTTTAAATAAATATGTCCTTTACAGCTCAGACGGTTATAAGGATGTGTGTTTGCTGCCTCCATCGCCACCTTTTTTTCCTAAAGGGACTATGCAAAATTTTAATCAAGCCATGACCGAGAGCACCAATTACTGTATTTTCTCTTATTGTGAAATGTCATTTTGTAATGTTTACAAGATATCTGTGGGTATTGCGCAACTTTTTTTTAACAGTAAGCATTTTGCACGAGGCGGTTGTGACTTAAAATCAGCGGATTCATAAATAAAAATGTCCATTTAGACCGAAAAGTATTTTGTGTACGTCATTTATGCTACTTTTCAGGAATGCATAGTTGTGCAGGTGGGACACTACAACGTGTGTATAGTGGCATGACATGACTAGAAGATAGACCCCATTCCTGTAGATAGTTTAGCCCCTTTAAACCTGAGTTTCTATTTGAAAGGGATTTATAATTCCACAATATTGTTGCATGCGACGTGTCTGTGTCATGTGACTACGTACAATAGTTTACAAAAACATAAACAGGTCAAGCAGAAAGTGTTTGAAAATTTGATCACGGTACCCATCTGAGACGCTCCGTTACAGTATGACGTATATAAAACCCCTTCTAATAGGAACGGTTGAATTATTACAAAATATAAGCCGCTGTCGGATTATTATGGCGTGGCTTTCAATGATCTTGGTATTAAATTATTTCTCTATTTATATTCACACTTGGTTTATTTTCAATAAGTCATGACGGTTGACTTCTCATATATCTGTTGCATACAGTGGTACGTTTGACACCTCATTTAGGATTTTATATTTCTATGAATAAGGACGTTTTTGTGATCTCCGATATTTAAGGTACCGTGGACTGCGTTTAAGGTAACTAAACATGTGTTTTGACAAAGGACCTGCGTTATTCATTGTTTTAAAGAAAAGAAATAAGTTTTTATTCTGTAAAAATAATTTAATAATGTGACGTATATTGTGTTTATGTAACACATGTTTTACTTATTTTTTCAGTTGAATAAGTGTAATAGCAACAATGAAGACGATGGTCATGTAGATACTATAAGGTTAAATTTAAATACACGACTAGGAAGCTTTCCAGATTATGATCGTAGATCGTTGAAGATGAGCGCTGACGTGTTTAACCTTTTAGAGGGTACGAGGAGCAGTAAACGAAAACCGGCACCCCATCCGCCAGCAAGTCCATACTCCTCGCGAGAATCCCGACATGTCTTGGCAAGTGAATTGACGCAGTGTGATGTAAAAGGGTGGCTGGTGGACGAAGTTCGAGGGATGAATGTATGGGTTGTTGTGGCTGATATGTTATTCTGTGTCTTTGATTCGGATGAATCGGAAATATCTCGTAACGTGGTGATGCTTCCTGGTTGCCGGATACGCCCGGTGATATTCAAGAGCGCGCCTCCTGATGTAACAGATAAAACGAGTGCATCTGCCAAGACTATCACGGGTATTGACAAATACCAGTTTCTAATCGATGATGTGAGTACAAAGCGTAAGTTGTTATTTGGTGTTAATAACCGAAGTGATTTAGACATGTGGTTAGACGTTTTAATAGAAGCTGTGAGCATGGATCTCACCTTCGATACAACACCACGTTGTTTATCTGATTCGTTTGTTCCGAATGAAGAATGTTTTCCTGCGTTGGATGCTAATTCTAGCTATCTACCATCCCCGAATATACCTCGTAGATCCACCATATCTCATTTTGATAACTCGCTCTTGAAGAATAGACATACCACTTCGTTGATTGATATTCGAAGACGAATGAAACGGGACAGTGATATAGCTAAGCCCCAACTACAACAAACTCCCTTGAAAGCGACACATGATACTATAAATACACCAATATTAGCTAAGAAAAAGGGACTTTTTGTCAATTTAAAATCCTTTGGAAGTTTGGATAGCTTACTGAAAAGGCAAAAACGATCGCGGAGTGCTGATGATTCTGAGATTCCCGAAAGACGATCTTTGGATGAGACAAAGCATTACACACCGCCGTCACCTAGCGACTCTGATGGTTCCAGTGCTAGCTGCTCTGCTGTCCACTCCAGATTTCAGGTTATTGATCCCGGAAGCGTGTCTAAAGGCATAGGACCGGTTGTGCGTCGACAAGTTTCTGATATTAAAGACAAATTCTTTAATGGGGGTTCTGCTTTTTGCGGAGCACCAGGGGTAAAGTTAAATGAATTGTTCTCCGAGAAAATATCAGGATTTTTACAATATCGTGTTATGATGAAATGGATCAACGTATGGTGCATCGTGGCTAGAGGCTGCTTTTACGGATTTAAATCTCAGGATCCAGATGAAACACCAATCGTGGCCGTGGTCTTGAAACAGTGTATGGTTAGCTACGAAACGAGCTCTGTAAAAGCTAATAAAGAACAATATATACTAAAACTTTCTCAGCCTCACTGCAAAAGTATATATCTTTCCGCATTAAGTGATAAAGATCTAAAACACTGGCTACATCAACTGAAAATAGAATCTTGCGGTGTACAGGCCGATGACAATATAAGTATTGAAAACTCTTCTGAATGTACGCAAAGTTATGACAGTGCTTTCAGTAATGTGTCTATGACGTCGAGTCAAAACGAATTTAATGATAAGCTGAATCAAGCGGGTGCCAACGGAAACACTGATGGATCACCACAACATGACGATGTCTTCCACAACGATTACTCACCAGAAGAATGGGACACTTACAGCAATGACTCCCAGAATGATACCATATCTGAACTTCATGATCCCTTCGCCCGGCCTGAACCCAAGCTGACTCTCAGTGCCAGAAAAGAGAAGGGCTACTTGCTACAAGTTATTCGATCTAAGTTGAAGATGGTTAGAAAGAAAAGTCTACCAGAACCTATTTTGGAGAGGGAACTATCCTTTCCGGAAGGTGGTGGCATACTGATGGTAGATGGTGATGATAATTCTGGAAGCTACAAAAAGGTAGGTTGAAGAAAATCAAATTCCTGCCGCCCATTAAGCTATAACATACATTATAAGTGATACACATTACAAATTAATCTTACGACTAACTTGACAAGTTCGTTTGTTTAAAATATGTGCAGGAGTGGGGTGGGGCTGCAGTCCCTGTATCATAGCAACATAATTATTCTCTATATACAGAAAAAAATATGGATACAAATCTTAAGGAAAGTTCGCTTAAAAACTTCAAATGAAAGAGAAAACAACACTTACATTGAAGACTACCCTCTATTCAATAAAATAATATTTGACAGTCCTTAAGAACAATAAAATAAAAATTCTCGTAACTTCGATCACCCGAACAAATAGATATCTAATACTCTATTTTCTCAATTTCAATCTGGAGTTGTTTGCCCTTAATAAGTCTCGAACGCTTGCTGTATATTGCGCATACTGTCATCTGGGTAGATGTGTGCATGTTTAACGGATTAAGTTAAAGTTTGTGTGTACAGGTATAGGTTATGTTCGTATATATCTTGGACTAAAGAGAGTGATACAGGTAGGTCTAAATAATAAATCTATGATTATTTGAAGATTTTGCATCTCAATTGTTCAGTTTACATGTCAACCGAACGAGCACTCCAGTGTTTACACGGACGTGCTCGATCGTTGTTCACAACACGTTTTGTCAAATGGAGCCAGATGTGTGATTCGTGATCTCCAAAATTTATATTGTTTACTGTTTATTTCCTATATCTAGTATTAACTGTGTATACGTTGTGAACATGTAATTCTGTTCGAACCGAATACACGGTTAAATTGATAGTGTCTCCACCACATGAATTACAAAACGCAAATTTTCGTATGCTCTACATGTGTAGTAAAAAATATGAAACAAAAGATATGGGGTTTAACGTCTTTGGAATTGGAAAAAATCTGACCCTAAAAACTAAAATAACCCTATGATAGTCCAAAAATGACCGAATTTTTGTGTTGACAAGACGTTAAACCCCATTTCTTTTGTTTAATTTTTCTTCTCTTGGGGCCTATACGGGTAATGTGAGTTGCATACAGATTCTGGTATGTAGCTACATGATTGAAAACTATGTGAATGTTATTAAACTGAAAATCTATACATAACAAAACTTTGTCTCATATAAATCTTGTTTCAATAAATTAACGTTATTTCTGGGAAAGCTGTTCTCGAACAATCGTTAAAATTTAGTTTAAAATGTACAATAAAACTACAAGATACAACCTTTTCCGTGTGTACAAAATTTATAGAAATCTTTAGAAATTAACATAGGACACGAATATTCAGTTTTTGAAACATAAAGCACTCAAGATTTGTAGTTTAAATGCATTTAACTTCTTTGTAAACTATCTGTCAAAGAAAATATATGTGGCTCTGATACCTTACACAGAAAGACTTATTGTATAATGGCAGCATAGAGAATTTCTTGGGCGAGTCGCAAACATTTATAGTGTTTCATTACAATTATCCAAATTACACCCTTTCTTACAAAACGAAATGTTCACCGTCTTCTGCAAGGCAATCTTTGTAATGTCAAAAGATGTACTTACATTCACCTCTCATCCCAACAATGTTTTTTTTTTCAAATCTTATTTACATACGAAATTACCTCGAGTTATTTTGTTGTTAAATTCAACAGAATGCGCTTTGTGTTTTGTACTGATCCTTCAATGAGATAACGTTTTGAATAAGTGCTGCATTTGTTTTGAATAAGTGCTGCATTTGTAAGTAAGTGGGAACCACGGTGGCTAGGTGGTTAAGACGCTGGCTCGCTAGCCTGGAGGTCGGGTGTTCGATCCCTGCATTGGCCGAGAAAGTTCATCTGGATTTTCAGACGTGGTTTCCCCTTGTCAGTGGTGCAGAACGGAGGGCCTGACAAGGACAGCTGTCTAGTCCTTCGGATGAGACGAAAAACCGAGGTCCCGTGTATACATTGGAATGCACGTAAAAGATCCCTTGGCAGTTGGAATTCGATTTAAGAGTAGGCGATAGTGCCGCTGCCCGGGCAAAATTTCCCTAATAGCACACTGTATGGCGTATGCCCGTCTTCATTAGCCCAGTATAGGAGCAGAACAGTAGGACGTTAAACCCCATTTCATTTGTAAGTAAGTTGGGATGCTAATATAACTATAGAATGCACAGCACTGCATGATGGGCAACTTTGTTCGCTATGTAAACTCCTTTAATCAGAAGTGATATGGGGTGTTTTAGAAACAAATAAGCACATCCCACCCCGTGCATTGCAAGCATCGCATTTTGCATCTAACACAAGATCGCATGATTGTTGTTTAAGGATGTGAGAGAAAAAAGTGTCATTGTGCAATTCATGAATTGGAGACATTAGAAAAATATTTATCATCATTTGTTTTTATAATCTATCACTTTCAACGCTATGCGAGGTGTTGGATGGCCGAATGGTTAGCACATGCGCGCTGTATCATAAAGTCTGTCGTTGGGTCAACTGGCGGGATTTCGATTCCCAGGTTGTACACGATAAGGAGTAGGATCACCTGTCCAATCTCGTGGGTTTTCTCCGGGTCCTCCGGTTTCCTCCCACTGCTAAAGACCACTACGCTCAAGCGAATTTTTGAAATAAAATGGAACCATGTGTTGTCCCGAAATGACCTAGTTTGTGCCGAGTGGACGTTAAACCCCATTTCGCTCTCTGTCTCTCTGTCTCTCTCGCATCGGTATGCAAATAAAACTAAACAAATTAGTGAGAAGTGATATCAGGTGTTCTAGACACGAAACTCACACCCAGTTCGACCATTTGAAACGGTATTTAAACATTAGCAGCTAAATCACGCACGAGTTCAAAATGCGCATTAAGTTTAAAGGGCAATATTGGTGTCAGTCTTTATAAAATATGTGATAGAGCTCGTTAAATACATCCCAAATATAATTTTAACACAGAGATCATTGCTACGGGGGATGTGTAACAAGCATTGTCCTTTAAAGTGGGAAACGTTTTATTCATTAATTATGAGAGAAAACGTGTAAGAATATGATTCGTGTCAACTATGCTTTAACTCGAGTTATATGACATACTACATTATACTACTAGCCCATATTCAGTAAATATATATATTATCTACTTATATAGGTTAATGGTATGTTTATCTACATATCGTGTAATCACATACTATTGAAATCACAGTCGCAAAAAAAATACCCACTGACGACACTAAAAACCCATTTAGATAAATAATGTAAATATGTCCTGTTACTGGCCTCGGATATATAGGGATGAAATAAACAATATAAAGGGAATCCGCAATGACATTAACATAGAAACAATTTAGGTTCACTCCCCTGTACATTCCAGCCATTATTATACCCAAATCTCACTTGATCTTTTCACTTAGCATCAATCACTTAAACTAGGTGAGATGCTGTAGGACGCTGTTTTTTTTTTTACAATTGACGATATCTGTGTGTGGACAGCGAACACCTGAAACGTGTGAAGTACGCACAGCCTTCTATCCCTTGCATGGACTTTATGCTTATAGTTCTGGATTTCTGAAGTTTAATTCATCAATGTTTGTAATGTTCAGTAGAGGCATGGGCCGGAGAGTTCGAATAGATTGGGTAATTATTATTTCAAACTTTGGATTTGTATGATTTTTATTTTAATCGAATGGTTGTTCATTCGAATTTAAGTTTTGTATATATTAATGTGTAAATAGCGAATACTGTTTGTTGTTTGATTTTGAGATTTTATAGGATATCTGCCAGAGAAAGGTAGAGTCACTTACCAATGATTTCATCAGGCCTTGGTCAGAATATAGCAGTTGCTTTCCATCTTTGTACTCAGATTGTGACTTGGAGAGTTATCTAACAATGATACTTCTGCATGGGTTCTAATACGAGTTCTGCAGTCTAGTTCAAAATTGGTCTTTACGTCCCCTCAACTTACATAAGGCCATTTCTGGACTAACATATGGTATATTCGTATTTCAATAATTCGCTTGGTGGAAATGGGAGGACACCTACAAACGACCCAACTCCTTGTCACATACAGTCAACCACGACCACGACACTTACACGGGTGACAGACTTGCAATCTGAAGCACAGACATGCTGAGGGCACATTTCTTATTAACAACAGAGTTTTAGTTAATGAACAGTCGCAGACTTTCCATTTACAAACTATCCGACACAGACTTTAGGTATGTAGTTTTTGTAGAGTTGTTAACAAGACGTTAAGCGCCAACAATTCATTTCAGTTTTAATCAGGTTGTCAAATTATTACCCTGCATGCTGTTAAGAATTATTTCCCAGCGTTATTCCCTGAAAGTTAATCTAGGATTTTAATTCTTTAATTGAATTTTCGCGTTCTATAAAAGGTGAAAGGTGTCAAACATGACCAAAGTTTGCACTATTGAATAATAAACTGATTTAAGGATGTGATGACACTTTCGTTTAGTGCTTGTGTATTGAAGGGTTCTGGGTCAAAATAGGAGTGCTTTAGAGCAAGTCGGTGTCAATGTTTTAATTTGTGACTTTACAATCATTTAACACGATTATCCTTATTCAGTTATCCATAAAATCTTGTCATTTTTGGAGATAATATGGCCAAACAAATCCATTAAATAGTGATTAAAATGGAGAGATGTCGTGTCAATGACCGACCTGTTCTAATCAGACACCTAATGTGTAATTGAAACTGTTTCCCTATTTAATATTGCAATTATCGTTGAATGATATATGCAGCCTGATGGGTCATGGATAACTTTTGACCCCTGAGAGTCTAGCCACTGGCCTTCACCCATCAACTTATCGATGGCAGTCCATTGTTCTTTCTACATGACGATGCCATAAATCATAGACAAATTGTTCTTATTATAAGATATTATTACGACTAAGCACATACGAACCGGAGTATTGCGGATTTAAGCCTTGTAAACGTAGACCCTCAGAAGTGCTACCAAAGAGTATGTTTGTCCAAAATATATTAAAAACCTCCTATTCTAAGGTAATATATGGC